ATTTCTGGTACACGTATTATTCATCAAACTGGGCATATTCATGCCATACAGAAGACATAAAAAGATAATGCTATTTTTGATAAGCAAGAATTGAGGGGTACAAAATCAGCCTCCTCGCTTCGAATTCGCTTCGTATATGAGTCAGAGATATTCGGGAAATAGCCGGCCGTTATCAAATTTGCTAGCAAGGTTTTGTTCCTCTTTAGACAGCTGCTTGTAAACGGGCTGATGGCTGCTTTGACTCTCTGGCATATGCCAATGTTAGCCGTTAAAACCAATAAAGAGGAATTGGCTAATTCAGCGGCGGAGACGAATCGTCGATTTACCGCACGGCAGCAATGTGTTTCCACTACGCTATGTCCGTTGGACTGATAAAAAACCGTAAAAAAATAGTGCAAACATCTGGAGCTAAAAAAATTCCCAGTAAAATTCAAGAATCTTTAGAAATTTTGAAGAAACTTAATGAAATTTATCGGCGTAACTTTGAACTACTATGAGCTTGCGTAATAATCCTGCACAAAAAACTCTAGCGAATTTGTTCTGCAGTGATTTTTGTTAGTGCCTGTTTGATAATGTTAACAGGTACAGCGTTTAAGAACACACTACGGACGTGAATGAAGCCAGAATCTACATGAATTGGTGCATCGAACGTTATTGCTTAGTGGGCTTGATTTTGCGGGGGTTTTCTTTACGATGTTCAAGGGACTGCGATTTTATTGGCAGTTTCGTGAACTTTCTTTTCCCACTAATGTTTTGTTTTAATCCTAATTCTGCAGCTTTTATTTATTTTTCGTAATTTTCGCCATCTTTTAAAAATGTTTGCTGAATGGGAACCCATGCCACTGTAGTACTATGCGCATGATTGAAAAATTCAGAAGATATCGAGTTTTACCGGCAAAGATTTTGGTAAAAAAAATGTCTCTGATGGTTAACAGCTACCACAGAATTTCCGTTTGACAGTGGACTTTCATATTTTAGCCAGGAAGCAATGGATACGTCGTTGTTGAGTACGGTTGTGCGGGCAATCAATCATTCATCAAGTGATGTAAAATGTGTGGCAGCTCTGGCTGTGCATCATATTTCGGCAAGAAAGCTCACTGTCAATGAAATGAAGGTGAGTGACGGAGATGAAGGAAGGGCACTTCATCATCGTTTCTAATGATTCAGTAATTTCCTTAAATCCGTTCATTTTCACTGGGATAGCTGATCCAAAAATAATCAAGGTGCTCTGAATCTTTGTCGGCATCGTATGCTCGGAGAATACCACCGACAGGTCATTAACTGTTGTGTATACGAAAGCAACAGCTTAGTAGGGAGATGTCTGTAAAATCCGGCAGGCAGGACATATTACTTGCTTTGCTGGCAATCGTAAACTTTATGCATTGTTGAGAGATATTAGAAAAAAACGACAGCTTGGGCTTCCGAAGAGGTCGCGCGCATACAGCCGTTAAGCGTTAGACATTAATAGGGATATGCAGGTCAGAATTGGGGAACATGGCATAACTGCACTGCACTCAGTGCGAAAGGAACATAACTAACACATGCTACCTTTCTAGTAGTTCGGGTGGTCTTCGTTTCTTTTGCTCTGCGTCTGTTAACGTTTTGTTAAGGTGATCGTTCTTTTTTTTTAACTGTTTACCAAATTTTTTTTTTTTTTTTTTT